CCATCCTGCTATCCGTGTAGTTGTGAGCACACGTCAGATTCACTAGTAAATGCTGGCCAATCGCTGATATAAACATCAGAAGATTCTAATAACAACAGTCAACTCTTACTCATTTGTGTGATACACTGTCATGACATACAGTAAAGGCTCATCTCAATATGTTTGTTCCAAATCAAAAGAGTTAGCAAGCATGTACCTGACTGTCTGCACCATCTATTCAGCCAGATTATCAGATGAAGGTGATATGGTGAAGTGTTTTTTTTTCATCCAGCTTAACACTTAGTTCAACTGGCTATTGATGCTAGATCATTGTTTCATGTAATGCATTTGTTCAGCATTGGATGGTTTTACCACAAAACTACACTTTATTTTTGGAACAAACAAAATTGACTGACAATTTTTGCAGTTGGTTTATTTTTAAGATACTAGTGCCAAATCAAATACAACTATTCTCATCTCGCATGCAGCATTACCAAGGAAAAATCAAAGAAGCACTTCACATCTGCAAATGAATATTTCCCAGAAGATGTGAATTATTTAGCCACGTGTGATTTTGTCATGAAAAAATCATTTTAGAAGAATTGTCACCCAAAACAATCTATAAACACTGTGTGAGGAATGACATTCAAAATGAGATGGTTAAATTACTGAATAACAAGATCTAGATACATGTGTTGTCTGCTACTAGTATTGTTCATTTCATATGTTACTGTAATTAAAACATAAGTCACACAAAACGGTTGTCACAGCTATAGAGATATATATGACGGATGATGGTAAAGTTAGTATTAAAAGACCATTTCTTTTGAGTTTTGCCACTGATATATACACAATGTAATGCAGGTATGGCCAAAAATATTCTAAGCAGTGACATTCTTTGAGTTGATTCAAAGGATATGCACAGCCCATCAATAAGTGAATTGACACCACAATAATACAAGTAAACCATGTACATGACATCATGCAAATAACCACAACATATATATATATATATATATACAAGTATAGATTTGTAAATACCTTAGAATATATAAATCCATGTCACAAATGAAAGGAGCACAGAGAATTGGCCATATTTCTCAAGGTCTCATAGTTGGGTGATGGGAAGACATTTAAAGTCAGTGGAAAATATTCGGATCATTTGAAGTACTGCTATATATTGATAATAGGTTCCAGTTAAGTTGGAAAACAGTTTATGCATGATCCAAGACACTGAAAACCAATAGAACAAATTAATTATGCTCTGAAGAAAGGTGTGGAGAATGATTGATGTCAAATAGATGCTACTATGTACCTCAATACCATCAGAAGTTATTTTCATGGCATGTTATACAATGGCAGAGTAGCTAAATAGAAGCTACTCATCACTGTAGGTGATATTATACATTGATAGAAGTGGGGACCAACCACATATTCCATCTTGCATTTTGGACACTATAATTTTTGAATTAATCAAAATTTGAAAAAATAACATTTTGGATAATGGATGCTTGTTTGTTTTGAAGTTAAATACCAATCTACACGATAGGCTATCTGTGTTCTGCACACCACGGGTATCGAAACCCGGTTTCTAGCGCTGTTAGCCATTGGGAGCTGTAATGGATGCATCTGGGTTTGGAAAATGTCCCCCCCCCCCCAAGAATTGTTTAAGCATTTGGAAGCTAGAACAAAAAAATTATAGTATTTCTCTTAAGATTCAGGATGACATTTGGCCAGCTTGAAGACCACAGCTGGTGACATAAAAAGGGATGTTCACTGCTGTTCAACATATCACAATTCTTGAAAAAGGCCTTCTATTTGTTTATGCAAGTACATAACATACTAGACAAGGCGGTACTTTCATGTAAAATGGATATCATGCTCATTCAGTCCAAATAACAAAATAATGGCTTGAAGGTCAAGGCATTATTTATATACAGTGACCAGGCTATCACTATCTAGGAACCATACTGAGGATGAATACTTCATTCTTGATCGTTCCCTGTGAAAACGTTAAAACAGTCAACTACTAGAGACACCCTCAACCAGATCTTTGTCAAGCCCAGATTTGAGATTGGGTAAATATGATGTGTAACTATTTTTTGCAAAAGATAGATTCGCCAAAAACTAATGGTATTTTTTGCGCCATTTTGCATGTGCATTTATTTTATAAAATGACATAATTTCTGGAATAAATGTATTTTTAATTACTGGCAAGCTTCACTTTTCTACTTCAACTCGTCATTATTAAGTATTCATATAAAATTGTCCCCAGATATCTGTGTAGCCATGGAGTGACACACTAGGGGAAGTAGAATGGATGATGTTTGTTTACATTTATAACTGCTGGGAAAAGTCTACAATGTATTGATCCCCAAAGCAGAAGGCAACATTCTCACAAGAGCTTGTAAACTAGTCATATTTTAAAGCCCAAATAGTCAATGCTAAATTTCCAATTTGTCTAGTTCTATGATGTGAAATGATTTGCTATATTAGGTCAACCTCACCCCAAAACAGTGATATCAATATGACTAAAATTATTCTTCAACTACAAACAACAAAACAAAACTTATTTTAAATTATACTTGTCATAAGGCATTAGTACATTTTAAAGCACCACGTTCTTAATTTAGTTCTTTGTTGTATTTAAGAATTAGAAGAAAGTATAATAATAGAATTCCAACCACACTATATTTGTCATATCCATTGCCGACGACGTGTTTCACTCAATCCAGAGCACTTCTGTTTTGCTGTGATACAACAAACATAATGGTAGTTGGAACACTATTTATATAAGCCATTTGATATAACAACAATTATACACTTTTCTAATCATTGATACTCCTTAAGCGACTAGATTAAGATTATGGTGTTTAAAAATGTAATACGTCTAATACTAATGTATTATGACAAGAACAATTGTAACCATTCTTCATCAGCTTGTAAAAGGCATACACACCATAAAAAAAACTTTATTTTCATCAGAACAAATCGATGAATTTGTACAAAGGCATTAATGGTTGCAAGGGAGCAATCAGAAGAAGTGAAAATTACTGTAAATTTTATTGCAAGAACTGATGGTGTTGTGGTGCCATCTTTTGGAACTTAGAGATGACACATTCGAAATTGCACCTCTAATGGTGCTACTGCAGCTACTTCTGTAGGCTTTCTCTGCTCCAACGACTTAACTGAAGACACCTCCTCATATCATATTGTTACCAACACAGCTTTAGTCAAGGGCATTATCAATGTAATGTGTGACGGATTTATTATTATATA